TCCAAAACTGACTGGACTGCTCTTTCGGCTTGGGCATTGGGCTTTGATATGTAATCTCTACTTAGCACATGACGACACTGGAGTATTTTCATGGTTGAAATCAACTCCGGAGCATTGTCGCTGTAGAAGACTCCAATCTCTTCATTGTGTCCAACAAAATGCTTAATAGCCAGAATAGCAGCATTGGTGGTTCTTCTCGCATTGGGGTAGACATACATAAAACCAGTTCCTTCACTACGAGTGCACTTTTCTCTTCATCAATCCCCAACTCATCTTCATCTCTGGTGACAATGAAATCAGCAGTGATATGGTCACCAAATTTTTCAGCTTTGACCTTTGTTGATCCGCCTACGGCTCTTGAGGGTGGCTTGAACATCTTAGCCTTTGTGCAAATGTCGCAGTAGGGATTCTTTGGTACATGAGTCAGCATGTGTCGAATAGACTTAGCTTCTTCCATTGTCATCATCATGAACACTACTGCTGCTACCCTTGGAGCGACTTTCAACAGGCGGCTCAACCTCCCGGTCGGCATCAGGAACATCAACCTCCTCAACCTGCAACGGCTGGGGCTCCGGAAAATCAACATTGATACCCATGGGGTCATCAGCGGGCTCCGGAGACTGTTGTGCTTCATCTGATGCCGGAGTGGCAGTACTTGGTCTAGGCTGAGTGGACGGAGTTGAAATTGTTTCGAATTGTTTGCGAAGTAGGGTACATAATCTCGACAACTAACTCAATGCGTTCCCCATTTGGCTTGACCATGTAAGGAGGTTCACCTTTGGATCCTCTCCATATGAAGTCATAACCATCATCGGCACATCTCATCCCAACCGAAATGACAGGCGGTGAGCTTCTAACAAGATATGGGTCAATGGTCTTGCCTAACTTCGGAACGAACACCCTTCCTTGTTTCGATGATGAACTCTCGCCATTGGCAGTGACCATACGAATTGGATGGTTGGAATAGTATCCGTAATCATCGGGCAATTCACTGTCATTGACCAAATCCTGGGCACTCCCCGTATCTGCAATCCAGTCTAGGTTGAGGTTGATTGCTCCCTTCACGTCTTCTTTGCATTCCGCAGGGGTGGCTTTGATTCCCTTATAGGGATACATTCGTTGCAACCAAAAATCGGTGTCACATAAATGGGCACATTTGCATTCAACATTTTGAAGACAGTTGGACACGGAACCAGCTAGCATTGTACCGACCAAAGCGGCGTCATTCACGGCAAGCTGATCAACTTCAAACTGATGCCCCCATGGAAAGGTTAAAGGTTACCTTATCCCTGGTGACTGAGTTTCCAATTGGCCTCAAGTTCCCCCGGGCTTTCACCGGAGACACGTCTGGTGATTCATCAAAACGAATCGATGGACAAACTACTCTCGGCTGAGGGATGCAAAATGCCTGAGACACGGATGCAAGCATGGATGCAACAAGGCAAACTGCGGCAGGTGATGGCTTGGATGAGCTGGCCCCGGATCCTTTGGACTTTGGGGACTTTGGGCTCTTGGGGCTCTTAGAGCGACTTGAGCTACGTGATCCCTTCCTTTTTGGGTTCTTGCCATTCTTCTTTTTGTTTTTATTGTCGCCACTTGCCGAACGGGCAGGAGTGGCTTGTCTTGGCTTACCAACCGAACCCTCAGGAAGGAATTTGCAATCAGCTCCCCTATCACATCTACCCTGCTTCCAAAATTTGCACATCTTCTTGCCTTTCCCCTTTGGCTTGGGAGATCCCGAACGATCAGTGGAGCGACCTCTGGTCTTGCTAGGCTTACGACTTCTGTCACGTGGCTTTGGGGTTTCATGCTTGTAAGTAAAGTTGTCTTTGCTACAGCCCCCCTTATTCCATGCCACACAATACCCCTTGGGGATAAGCCTGTCTTGCCCTCGACTGCTGGAGCGGAGGGACGACCGGCACCTGATAGGCCTTTGGTTGGCCTCCAACCTTTCCCGGTCAAGGTGGCGTCGCACAGCGGAAACAAGGAAACTATAGTAACTATAGGTTCTCTTTTCGGTTCCTTCATCAGCTCAATTTTTCTCATCATCGTCATTGGGGTCGTCACCATTCCCATCGTCACCGTCCGGAGGACCAGAACCGCCCTTGTTCTTTCTGGGCAACTTGCTGTTCTTATCCCCTTCAGGCTTCTTGTTGGGTTCAGGTGGAGTAGGAGGCCCACCGCCCCCATTACCTCCATCATCATCCCCTCCGTCCCCAGAGTCATGTCCGTCCGGCTCGTATCCGGGCTCGAAGTAGTCCATGTCATCAGGGCCTAGTTCGGTTGGAGAGTAACGGTTGGTCGGAGCCGGGGACCCAACCTTTCCCTTGGAAGGAATACCACTGCGTTTGCTAGCGGCCACCCCTTCCGGAGGGCGTTCATTGGTCGAAGACCTTGCAACATCCGATTCTTTCTTTACGTGAATTTGGACTCGGTACTTTGGATCATGATAGACAATCTCAATTCCATCATTTTCAAGAGTCTCAATATACGATGGAGTAGAGACAATCGATGCTTTGGGGGTCGGAGGCATGTTCATGCACATTCGGAGGTGGTGCTACAGGCACAGCTTTGCGGGTTGGTGGAACGAACTCATAACCCGGATGTGCTGATGATGTGAATGTCTCGGCAGTAGTGGTCATGGCGGCAGTTTCAACAACTGGATTTGGATGTGCCTGGGCAAACTGGGAATCAAGCATGCTTTGCAACTTTAGGTTATGTTGCATTTGGGCTTGCACCATTTGTTCAAGTTGGGTGATGCGGTCATTTTGAACCCTTCTTTCTTCCTCAGCCTGCCTCTTGAGTTCAAGGATTTCCTGTTCTTTGCTGGAAAGTGATTGTCGGTGATTGGCATCAATGACAGGTTGGTAGGCTTGAATTTTCTCAGTCATTTGAGCTTCTTGGAACCTTACATGTTCGTGCGCCTCATGCTTTAAATTCTCTTGATATTGAGCACCCATATTCAAAAGTTCTTGTTCTTTGATTCTGATAGCATCAAGGGCCCTCTGACTTTCAATGCCCTCGCGGACTCGCAAAGCTTCCTTCAGTTCCTCGGTCTTGGCCGTGTGGACAGCTTCAGCCTGAGCTTCGGTGTGAGCCAACACCTCACGATGGCGGAGTTCGGCCGCTGTTTCCACAAGGCTTGTCATGACAGGGTCATGTGGATGGAGATGCACACTCTGCTCGACAAAGTTTACCTGAGGATTATCAACATGCACATTATGATGAAAAGTGTTGTGAACATTCATTTGGTTCAGCTGGCGAGTCGGCGGCCCACCCTCCCGAGCGGCTTGGGAAACAAATCCACGATGATTGAAACTAACATGAGAAGGCACAACTGCGTTACTCAATGGTGGTAAGTGTCGTCGTTCCCTTAAGCTTATTGATTTGTCGGAACCGGGTGGTGTGCTTATATCAATACTGAGACCACTAATGGAAGATATTTTCACTTTAGGCACTTAATGGAAATATGTACTTGCTTGAGCTTATCATAGAACTTATTTTAGCTTATTTTTACTTATTTTCACTTATTTTCTGTATTTTCTGAATTTTCTGTATTTTCTGAATTTTCTGAATTTTCTGAATTCTGTATATTTAAATATAAATAAATATATATATATATATAATTCTGAATTTTCTGAATTCTTTATACTTAAATATATATATATAATTCTGAATTTTCTGAATTGTCTGAATTTTTCTGAATTTTCTGAATTCTGAATTTTCTGAATTTTCTGATTTTTTTGAATTTTCTGAATTTTTCTGAATTTTTCTGAATTTTCTGAATTTTCTGAACTTTCAGATATTTTCAGATATTTTCAGATATCTTCAGATATTTTCAAATATTTTCAGATTTTTTTCACAAATATTCGAATATATTTGATTATATCTTCATTATTATGTAATAAACTCCAATAAAAAATATAGTGAAACTTAACTCATTTTTTTTCAACAAAAAAAATAAACAAGATATAAGCAAGATACTAGCAACTTATCAGATGCTTATAAGTTCGTTAAGTGCCTAAAGTGAAAATTTCTTCCATTAGTGGTCTCAGTAGAGAATGGGGTGTCGGCGATAGGCAAGGTACCGGGATTTGCCATGGCGGCGTCAGAGGAAATACGCCCGGTGCCCTCGGTGGAAGAACCCGAGGGGGCAGACATTGCCTACCTAGAGAAACGGTGTTACGGCTGATAACCTGTTTGACAGATTAAACAGCCAAAAGCAGTCAGCATATAGCGCTTGTTTTCTTGAGCCAATGCAACACGGTAAATAACTATGATTAGTATGTACAGTGCATGATATGTACAATAAAGAGATCATATATATGGAACTCCAACGACATCTTTGACTATGATGTCGTATGAGAAATTAAAGGTCAAGCCGAGATTTAAAGGATCCCAAATGTCATTTTCGGGAAGCTTCATATGCAGACATGTAATTGGAAACCTGTGGCACTGGAATGACGAAAAAATGTTGCTCTTCAAGAGCGACGATGCTGGTCAAACAATCAAACAACAATTTGAGCCAAAGAAAGTCAAGCAAGGGAGCACATGTTCTTTCTAGAATGTGGGCGGCAAATGATGTGTGCATAATCACAAACTACCCACTATACGAGCGCGCACGCACACACACACCCCCATGCGTGCGCGCGTGCCAAAAACGCGTGCACACATGTTGAAATGCCCACATTCCCCCTACAAATATTTGCCGGTAATGATGTGTGACTTCAGCGATGCACCGCTCACCCCATTTTATCTTCATGTAATTCATGGAATCATCTAATGTCATCATGTCATCTAGTGATCTAGGTCCTAGGTACACCATGGTGCATCTCCATAGCCGACACTCCGCGCTAGGTGCGGAAAAAAACACTGTACAGTGAAGGGCAGAAGCATGGCAACGATTCGCAGCCATGAGGCTTAAGTTGACCGCAAGCTCTGGAAGCAACAGACTATGATGAATCCTGGGTCTACACTACACACATCTACACACCACGCATGTCTTCACCTGCTCATATGATCTCATGTTTTATTCTTTGGCACCAAAAAAAAGCAAAACTACAGCTCCACACGCATTTGATTGATTCAATCGCGAAAAATATGGGATGAGACTGAAATGTGGAATGACTCAACGATCCAAGATTGTCTGACACTCCAAGAATCTCCAGGACAACCTTTGTGCTCTGAGCATTGCATCTGCACTCCTCATTCACTCGTCGCATGGAGTCCGAGTGATTCATCTTGGGTTTGAGGTGGATCTCCAGCACTTGAAGCCGAATGGGATGCACCAGGCGTTCCGGTCTGGCAATCTTCGCCTCAGTCATCTCAGAGGTTCAAACAAGCACCATGTCCGTAATGTGGTCAGCATGTCAAGGCAACAGAATTACACTGAAATACCATGACATCCGAAACCTTTTGAGAACGTTTGAAAGCCGTGCCATTCCTTACCCAATCAAGGGTTTTGATTAAGAGCTCTGGACAGATGGACTACCAGGGGGTGACTCCACTGGAAAAATGGCCGAGAAATTTGCAGAGATACCAATCTCAGTTGTGGTTGCTTCATCCATCTCTGAGGCCTGAGGCAGGCAATGTCACCCATGGACATTTTCATGAAGGGTTGAATGAAGGGCCACAATTTGACCTAGGGCCTACGCGTTTCCTACACGAGGGTCTGCGCGGGGCCTACGCAAAAGTCCGAACCGAAAAGGATTTCTGGAAACTTGTGCAATCCAGAACATCTAAACAAGCCCCTACGCGAGACTGCCTCCGCAGCCTCTCCTACGTTATCCTACGCCATATTATGCCTACGCAGGACCTACGCACGAAGCAGAATAGCCTACGCATGAATAATGTGAGTTCCTCAATCTAAATTCCATCATCTGGAGAAAAAACGCGGCTCAGTTGAAGAGTCACAAGCAGAACAAGATCATAATCATACCATTCAATATTATTTTCAATATTATTCAATACCACTCTCTGATTGTTTGGCGGATTTGCCTCAAACATAGATTGATCCTGATTGATCGCTCTCATGATGGGACAGAATCAAAACACAAAGTCTTAAGTGATTTTCTCACGAATCACGAACCAACGAGTTCAACAGGTGGCAGTAGTAGGATCTAGATGGATGCTGTAGTCTTAGCCGTTTTTTAGTGGTTATGGCAGTGCTAAAGATAGCTTTAGATAGCTACAGTGTAGCTACAGAAGGCTGGGGCGAGTGGGGCCAGCCAGCTGCCTGGCCACGTCGGTGCTTCTTGCTCACCCAATCATAGCCTTTCTGGATACCTGCGGCCGAACAGAGACCTATTTCAGGTCTTCTGCAAACTCAGATTCTTTCCAAACACTTCGACCATCCACAGGTATATTATGGTGTAATATGGTATAGTGATAACTCTGATATATATATATATATTATACATATATATATATATATAATCCCCAGCAGTCTCCAACAAACAAACACAAGACAGGTGCTTTCGATTGCTTCAACTGGGAAATGGATCTACAGTAAATATATGGTCTATGTAATGCCTTTCAGCCCTTTGAATAACGCCAGCAGTACCTTATGTCAAAGTCACTCAATGATGGGCTCAAACGGGTACACAGACTGCATCGTTGGCCAATTGTTGCAAGAAACTTTTAAAGGAACTTAACCATCCAAATCTGGTTGTAATTAATGTTGAAGCGTTGCCACAAAGTATAATTGACCTTGCAAACAGAGATCAAACTCACACTCGAATAAGTTGATGATCAACCCAACGCAATCCAACGCATATATTGTGGCAGTGCAGCAAGTCACCCCTGAAGACTCCCTCTCCAACTGCACAGCCAAGTACTGAATGAGCAGTTATTGTCAAAGCACCTGAGAACAAGCGTCAACATAGCGGCACCCTTCGCATTTCAAATGCTGGGGTTAATGTGGCATCTTGTCAAGGACCGTCTAATTCGTTCTCTGCCTGACAGGCCAAAAAATCCTATGTGCCCAGTCTAGGTGTACTGTTACTGTACTGGGTGGCTCCTCCCCCAGTCAGATTATCAGATTGCTTGACAATGCAAAAACCCTGACACAGAGCACCACGCCCACGCCAAGTGCACTCGCAGCTCCTGGTGTTGGGCTTGGGTCTCTTTGATGGACAGGACATGACAGGACATCCTGTTTGATAAAGTGAAGGGGGTTCTCAGGCAATTCAGGTCAAAGATTTGGTCGCGGGTGGCCGCTGAGTCTATCATAGCTGTGTCCAGAGTTCCCGAAGCGCACCTACGGGACCTGCAACTGCCGCTCCAGCTACACCTTGGCTCAAGACGAAGTTTCAGCAGGGATTGACAGCCTCTATATTTTGGTTCCATCAAGAGCTGCAAAAGTTCTAATGCCAAGGATCACAGACCAGCAGCTACTGTAGTGATGCGACTCTCTATAGCGTGCACTGTCTTCCTCAAGGCACATTCTCTGAACTGTACTTTAGAGGACACGAGATTATCATTTCAGTCAGGCATGGAACACCCTCTGGGCTGGACCAGGACAGAGGCTATCTCCGGAAAAGTTTCAGCACTGAACTGCCACCAAGTCACCATTCGTCACCGCTGCAGCAGTAGTTGCAGCCGCCTTAGCACCTTATCAATTGACAATCTGCCGGATCCACAAGGAAGTGCCCTTGCTGCCCTACTGAAACTACAATATGCAAGGAACACACAAGTGTAGGCAAAATGCATCAGAATGCAGCAAAATGGGCGGATCTCGAAGGAAGGGATCCAAAGACAGATCGATCTTAGAAGCAGCTTGAACAGAGGAACGTGTCCCACAGCAAATATTTGCACGTCAATTGGTTGTTTTATCGAAGCAGGAAACCCAAATACGACTACGAATCCCTTTTTCATATTCGGACAAATGGAGAGTGTGCGTGTGTGCTTGCGCTGAACGTGTTGAACATGATGATGCAGTGATGCGTCCAACATCTGAAGCAGAAACACCGACTTTGCCAGGATCGCAAGAATCACCAATAGAATGAGACCATGAACATTTTTTTAAACCACAAAACTGGTCAAGAAACTGAGTTTCGGACCTGCAATGCCCTTGAAAACGCCATTGGCTGTGATGGCCTTATCATATGGCGACCAAGGCGTCCATAGAAATTCACGCACTTCCCAAGAAGCATCAAGTCCAAAGAGAGATTTGTTTGGATTGAAATAGAATGATATTAGATCATTGCATAGTACAATATACAAAAAAATGCAAATTGTCTCACAAAATCTCACAAGTCCATACAAACCCCCCAAAGGATTCAAAATGTCTGGCAGGTTCAAGCAAGGTGAATACAGATGGGATCTATTGCAAAATCCGTGGGGCAAGCATGTCAAAGCCAACCTGCATGACATCAGGAAAAGGGTCTGCACCCGAATCGATGCGTTCTACTAAGATACAAGCCACTCTTGCGCAACGACCAAGGGCCTGAAGCTGAGTCGCAATCCCGGTCTGGCATCGTCACACATGCCCTACCTCAAATATACATAATGCATTATCTCTACAAGTAGTATATCGCTAGCGCCACACGAAACCGAGGAAGTAACAAACAAAACAGGAATCGCACCGCAGACAAGCAGATCTACAAAATATCACAGGAAGAGGCACCACGAAGAAAAAACACACTGATGTTTCCTAAATGGTACGCCAGAATAGTTGTAATCTTTAACGGGGAAAACTTTGATAATATGCTTGAGGTCGGGGGGAGGTAGGAAACGCTAGCAGGGCGGTACTAATGCCTGACTGGAGACTGCTCAGTTGAAAGAGCAAACTGAAATAGGAGCGTCAAAAAAAACAAAAGGCAAGAACCAGATTGAGATCCAAACAGAGAAGGCGCTGATGATGATGATGATGATGATGTTGATGTTGATGTGGATGTGGATGTTGATGTGGATGTGGTGGTGGTGGTGGTGGTGGTGGTGGGTGGTGTGGTGGGGGTGGGGGTGGTGGGGGGGTGGTGGCGGTGGTGGCGGTGGCGGCGGTGGTGGCGGTGGTGGCGGTAGTGGCAGTGGTGGCGGTGATGGTGGTGATGGCGGTGATGGCGATGATGGTGATGATGGTGATGGTGATGATGATGATAATGATACTGTTGATGATGGTGTTGGCGATGGTGATGGCGGTGATGGCGATGATGATGATGATGATGATGATAATGATTATGACGATGGCCATGACGATGACGATGAAGGCGACAATGATAATGAATATGAATGAGAAGATAAACACACAAATGACATCAAATGACGATGAAGATGACAAACCTGTACCTGCCCTCAAACCCTGGATCGTGGAGGGACGGGGGATTGAACTGGGGCCTGCCAGGGGGAGAGGCCTGCCTATTCCTTGCTAAAGCGAGCAGAAGCTTTGGAAGGGGCTCTTTTTAACCTTGCAGGTCTGCGGAAGCAGTGACACTTTACCGGGGACACTGCAAGGGCGAGTCCATATCGTCCATGTGATTTCCGTCCCTCGCTGATTGAATTAAACAAATATAATGGTTTGCAAAAATACGCGAAACGTACAGCGAACATCAGCGAACATGGGTCAGAACCGAACTCCGAATAATCGAATCCAATTGAACCAATGTCAAGTCAATTCATATATACCGTATTGTGAACTGATGCAAATTCGAACAAACCCAACAAAAACTGAAATAGGGTGTATAAGTATAATACTGAAATGAGAGGAGTTATATATATATAATTTATGTCGAACTAGAAGCATTGAAATGTTGGAAGTGCACTCTGAATACGCAAATGCGCAAACAATTTCTATGCTACATCTCATGGCATCTCATCATTGATCTGGCTCTTGCACCTGGTATGCCCCTATGGCCAATATGAGACCACCAGCACCCGCAGCGTATCATTCGCCACGCCTTCATGATCCATTGGTCCTCCGGCATAGGGCATGAGATGCCCAATCCGTCAAACAGGTCATTCGCGAAGTGCTGACCTGGCCGATGCCAGATCTTCAGGAGTTGAGATACCCAGTTCCAGTATTTTCCAGTATCAGAACACAAACAAGGAAACAAAGGCCCAAGCAACTATGGTCCAACCATGGCACCATGGGTTTCATAAGTCATAATTAAAGGACTGGATAACCCCACATGTCAACTTCTTCCAACAAGCAGCAAAAGAAAGGTAAAGATGGCATGGGGAAAGCAGGAAAGAGAAAAGAGATGGTGAAGGATTGGTGTGGAGTAATTTGTGTGTGGAAGAGTAAGTGTGAGTACGTTGTGTGGTGATAAGTTGTGTGTGAGGTGTGTGTGTGTGTGCGTGTGTGTGTGTGCTTGCGCGTGCAGAAGTTGTGACGGGGAAGGAAGGAAAGACAAAGGAGGTGGTGAAAAGGTTCGAGACGTAAAAACAGTTGTGTGGATAAAGTTGTCTATACGTATGTATGTATGCAGGTATCTATGTATCAGCCGCATGCACGTTTTTTCCACAGAACATGATGTTCAGGAACGGCAGCATCTGCGCGATGAAGTCGGTACCTGGCAGAGAACAACACAAAACAACGGCCTGTCATTGCTGTTAAGACACGGCGACATTATCATGAAGACTGCCAGTTTTGGAATCACAGACGGATAACAGACACGTGAACACAGTAAACCGCAACAGCACGATCAAAGATCACGACGCACGAGAGTGCTGGATCTGCGCGATGAAGGCGGTACCTGGCAGCAAACGCTTTCACCAGATGTGCCGCTTGACAGCATCGGATCATGCGCGCGCACATGCCATGTCATTTAGCAGCCGTTTTTCTTCGGCACTGAGCGCGATATCAAAATGGTAGGAGCGACCGCCAGATTTTTGCACGGCGCGGCAATCTAGGCGCACACCGCAGAGCCGCTAGAAGCGAAAAGGAATCTTCGCACGGCGCGGCAATCCAGTCGCGTGCACCGCAGGGCCTCCTTACGCGGCATCCTCAGTCATCGACGCGTCCTCCGGCGCTGTCTCCATGACGCTTGCAAGACGTTTCATTGGAGTCCATGCCTGGTCCTACAAGGAGCCCCCCCAAGTTATGGTGAAGTTATGCATGTTATAAATTAAGTTAAGGAAGTTATGTTGAAGTTATGTTAAGTTAAGTTAAGTTAAGGGTGGATATAAGTAAGTTATAACTTTGCTATCTTGTTTGTATCTTTTTAGTTTTGCATTTTTCCATTGAGGAAAAACGTTGTTTTTAGTTTTTTTTTCGTGGAGTTGTCAAATTGCAGCGATTTCATCTCTTTTTTCCGCTTGGCCAGCACGGCAACGGTCAAAGTTGCTAA